ATCCTAAATATGTATGATTGTCTGAAAAACGAAAATCCAGATTCCTCGCAAAATCAAATTTTAAACAGAATTTGTATCCTGACAAAAATCAGTCGGTCTACCATTTATCGGGTTATAAAAAGGGGAGATGTAGTCAACCATTCCTTCCACAGAAAGCGCATAGGGCAAAAATTAAAAAGAATAGACGTGGGTTTTCAGGAAGATATTCGTCGTATAATATACGGATTTTATAAAGAAAATTTGGTGCCCACGTTGGAAATGATACGGGATAAATTAAAAGATTATCCTGAAGATTTTTATAATTACAAATGCTTAGACTCACTGCACTGTATTGTAAAACTGAGTGGTTTTCAATACAAAAATTAGATAAAAGAATGGTGATTATGGAGTCGTCTCGAATCGTTGAATTGCGCCAAGAATTTTTGCACAAAGTTAAAATCTATAGCGAGCAGAAAAGAAATCTGATTTACCTGGATGAAACGTGGTATGATACCCATGATGTTGTGCAGTACGGCTGGGTTGACGACAGCAACAAGTGCATTTTAAATGCACCATGCAACCGTGGAAAACGAATCATTATTCTCCATGCTGGCAGTGAAAATGGATTTATACCTAATGCCTTGCTGTTATCTGCCAAAAATATCAAAGAATCATGTGCCGACTATCATGAGGACATGACCTCCGACTTATTTGAAAAGTGGATAGATCAGCAGTTAATACCAAACATTTCCCCAAATTCAGTGATTATTATGGACAATGCGCCATACCATTCCCGACAGAAAAACAAAATTCCGAATACAGGCACAAAAAAACAAGACATTATTGATTTTATGAAGGATAAGGGAATGGAAATACCACAAAAATCAACCAAAGCCATATTATTGGATCTTATTAAAAGACAAAAATTTGAAAAAGAGTATGTTGTTGACAATCTGCTTCAGCAAAATGGCCATGAAGTATTACGTCTACCTCCCTATTACTGCATTTTTAACCCGATTGAGTTGGTCTGGGCTGCTTTAAAAAAAAAAGTAAGAAAACATAATCAGACCCTTCAATTAAGTGAATCGCTATTGGCCACAATAAGAGATGCAGTATCTCATATTGCTGCCACAGACCTATGGAAGCAGTGTTCTAGGCATATTATTGAAAAAGAAAATGAATATTGTGTTTTGCCTCCTGTAAATCCCGTTGTAATTCCTCTACAAGATGACTCTAGCGACAGCTCCGAAGGTGAGAATGATATATAAATACCTATAATGTAAGACTTTATATACCTTTTTATATACCTACCTGCTATGTAAATATTTGCCTATGTCAAACGTTGGAATTCTGTAATTTTTCCCTTTCTTAACTTTCAGTCAACATAAATTAAACTCCCAATATAAGTATTTTTTATCCCAAATCAAAAAAATAAGAACATAGTAAAATCCATTTATTGTGATATAAAAACATTATTATTATTATCGTTCTAAATAAATGACCGCACGCCTATGATACATCATGAAATTACAAAGGACGCGCCGACCAAATGTTTTTATGCTATTTCAAGTGACTTCAGATAAAGTATACGTCCTTCATTGTGTAGCATTTGCAAGGTCATCATGATAATACAGTTGATTAAGATATGAGCGTGTTGAGATTTTAACATTTGTAATTTTACAAATGTCTGCACTATGAGTCATTGCAATGCTAGGTATTGTTTGTTCGAATGGGTATGAAATTTCAAATATATGGTTTTTATTGATATTATAGTGTTTTAATAGTTAGTAAGGTCAACTATTGAAGAATTACTGTTCCTGTAGATTTTTCTGAAAAATACGTATTTGATCTCCTATCTAGGTAGGTACCTTTTCTTCTATAATGAACACTCATTCTCAAACATTGGACTTCAAATGAACATATAAGGCTATTTAAATTTACTTGTATACTCAGGTACTACATAAACGCAACAAGCAAAATTGTGGTCAAATTCGTAACGTTTTCTTTTTTACAGAATTTATTTGATTTTTCGGCAGGCGGTAGAAATCAAAGACGATATATCAAAATGCAAACCTAACGCAGAATACTTTTTGAATTCGCACGGGGGGGAAGTAAAATTGGTGGTAAAATGTTCTTTTGCTTCATGTCAACCACTATACGTATTGACGTGAAAAACATAACAGATTCCAGAGAAAATATGGTTCCTGATGAAGGAAAGCATTGTGGTCTGATCGAGAATGATAACGAAAATCATTTTGATCTACCCTGTATAAAAGTCAAGCGTGCTCAATGTGATGCTGCATCGTTGTGGAGGCCACTGCCGACTGTACAATGTGTAACAACTGCGGTGGTGTCGTCACTGACACGGACCGACAAACTTGACATAAATGAGAAACACGGACTTGTGTAGTTACAGAAAGCATGTAAACCGAATATTATCGCGAATTTAATACTTCCATCGTTCAGGTAGTCGTCGATCTTGAAAACTGATTCAGAGGTGGCGAAAATAAAATCGCTGGAACACAGTGTTAAACGTTACAGATATTCCTGCTCATTTTCAGACGTTGTTTGGAAGACATGGAAATTATAGGCTGGAAGCGGTATTCGGTAAATGGTTGTAAATTGTTGCAAATTTGGTGTCAGTGAAAGACCTTCTGTTATTAAGAAGCTGCTGATCTCAGTGATACTATGTACCTGTTAAACGTAATAAGTCACACATATTTCGCCTTGGAAACATAAATATGATAGATTTGCTTTATATACTTTAATATGCAGAGGTCAAAGGCTCATCGTACCTGTGAAGTGAACCTTCCTAATCATGATTCGATTGAAACGACTTGACTCCTCCCTTTTCCTTGAAATCTCCACCGAAGGCGTATGAAGTATAGAGTCAATCTACTTGACGCCATTCATTCATTCATTCCATATCTTAAATAAGCAGAATTTGCTCTTGAACGCAGTTCAAATATGAACGAGTCAACCTAATTTACTGAACGCCTTGCTGCAAATATACTAAGTGACATATAAATCCGAACACCCAGTTTAAATGGTTTTATTTTAATAAAAGTTGGTGAAAGTATTTATCTTACTGTAAATAACAAGTGAAAAAATGTTCAGCCTTATCAGTTGGACATTCCGGTTTTTATACTGCTTTTTTTTAATTCACTAACGCTCTAAAAATGAATATTTCAGCCGCAGTAAAGAATCAACGTTGGCGGATTTTGGTTCTTGACATCCTTTACGATCGGTTACGATGCCTAGAGTACGGAGACCTGTACGATTTCGTCAACTTAGTGAGTTTGTTAGGGGCCGTATAGTGGGACTTCGGGAAGCTGGACTTTCTTTTCGGGCAATTGCAGTTAGAGTGCAAAGAAGTGTAGACACTGTGGTTAGGTGTTGTCAGGCATGGCTTCGAGAAGGCCGTACGCAAAGAGCAAGGGGCACAGGGCGCCGCCGTAGAACAACAGACCGTGAAGATCGAAGCCTAAGTTTATTGGCCTTAAGGGACCGTTTCTCCACTACCAGATCCATTGCAAATGAATGGTTTGCAGAACACGGAAGACCTATTGGCATGCGAAGTGTTTACCGACGAATGAGAAGTTTTGGCTTGTTTTCATACCGGCCACACTGGGTCGTCCCTTTAACTCGAGAACACCGACGTAATCGCCTTGAGTGGTGCAGACAACGGTCACTCTGGGATCAGGAATGGAACAGTATTGCCTTGGAGAATGCGTAGCACATCAGGATGCATCCACACATTATTAAAGGTCAAAGGGCTTTAAAGCAGTGCAATCATTTTGAAATTTTTATCATTTACTTATTATGCTTCATTAAGTACTTATACAAAATTTTATTAAAATAAAACCATTTAAACTAGGCGTTCGGATTTATATGTCACTTAGTATACACTGATAGTAAAAAATGTAACAACATATTTCCAATCCAACACACAAGATGATTTAGTAATTCCAACAACATTACGTATTATGACTCCACACTAGTTTTGTCTATAATTTAAAGCAATCAATGCAATAGTTACTGAAACTACGCATGAGCAAAACTGCACACATGTGACAGAGCTAGCTTTTCCCAGGGTGTCTTATAAATGTCCGCATGTTTCCACACCTAAGCTATGCAGTCGGTTATCTTCCAAAACAAAGAAATTAATGATGATGGATCCCTCGAGCACTAAGATCTCCGGACAGAAACTCACTCCACTCTCGGAAGGTCCGGGTGGAGGGTGGGCTCCAGGGAACAACATCGAAGATAAAATTTGTTTTTCGAACATCTGCGGGATCAACAGCAACATTGATGCTGTTCATCACTACCTGCGATCCAATCGTCCCGCCGTGCTTTTCTTGGCGGAGACAAAAATCTCAGAGACTGCACCGATCAACCATCTCAACTTCCCAAACTACGAGGTGCACTTCAATCTGAGAAAGAACGGGGGAGTTATGGCTTTTGTCCCCCGCAGTATTTCTTGCTCCAGAGATGTTCTTTGGAATCAGGCCGGAAGGACATTCTGTGGCTTCGCCTCAACTCCAATACATCACCCAAATTTATCTGCTGCCTTTATCGCTCTCCCTCGAACCATAACTGGGATGACCTACTCGAATACCTCGCCGTCCAGATCGACTTCCTGAACATCAATCACCCGCCTCAACAATCAACAACAATCTACAAGAGGAAGCTTTTCCCAGTTCTACTAACCTTAGGCAGTTCAAAAATCGTATTAACAAAATTTCTTTGGATCATCATAGCAGACGCGGTGTTCCGGCATTTAGGCTTCTGCCTGCGCGGCTGCTTCGATATATAAAAAAAGATGTGACATATCTGGAATTCTACTTGAATTTAGCTCTAGCTATTCCCGCGTTTGGAAAGCAAAGATAACGGTTCTCAATTTTTATACACTATTTCATAAACGAGTATAATACGAAGAGCCAGTCTTTGGTCCACCACTTGTTGTTCGCGTCTTGGACCTGATTTGGTCGTTCACCTATGTAGGTGCTAATAAGTACTAATACGATTATTCAACTATCGATGATGTTCCAGCAGTGCCTGATGCAGAATGCTGGACAACAGTATGGCGGCCCAGGCGGCAACGGCAGCACCTCCCTACAGCACCACCACCAACAACAGCACCAACAGCAACAAGCAAATGCTGCAGCAGCAGCACAGTACAATCAACAGGACCAGGGGGTAAGTGATTACTTACGTTTTGCCAGGTAGTGTCCTAACCAACGGTTAGTAAATTTAACAGGAGAGCAAGAAAACGAAATCAGCGTGTTGTTGATTGAGCAGTGTATTTAAATTTTAGATATTTCCGAATTGAAAACTCAAGTGTGTTAGCCTATATTTATTGTGAATCATATGCCATTTCAATATTTGAGGTAGCTTATCAAGTTCGTGAGCATTTTCAGATTTTTGTCAGATAGAGCTAACATATATTTTTATTGTTCTTGTTATTTATACTTTTTTAAGATATACAGAATTTGTTTCATTTACTTATAAGCAAAGAATCATATTTCCAGCCAAGGGGGCGATTATCTCAGAAAATTTGTTGATTGTTTAATTTTTTAAGTAATCTTTGGTCTGCTGACAGCAGAATTTATGTAAAAAAGTTCAGATCGACTTTTGAATTTTGGCTACCCCCTAAAATATTTCCCTTAATGTCCATGCCTAAAATTGATGTAGATTATGACACAAATATTAGGTGATGAGATGAAGAAATCAACTCGAAACGTCAAAGCAATTTTCATTGAAATAAAAACTAAAAGAAAAGCAATTAACTTAAATATTATATTATTAATATTATAAATTGACATATTACCAGCAAATGTTGATGTGTTGTGATACACAAAAAAAAAGGCAAAATTATCAATAATTCATTCCGTTGCATGGGGCAAATTTTTCAAGAGTTTTGGAATTCTGTAAGCGTACAAGTAACTGGTGTTTTTTGGATTTCACATAACGAAATTAAGTCGAAGTACTCCTTTTTTGTTATGTTTAAGTTGTTCTAGTTTAGTATCATTTATATTATTGCTATTTATCATCAGTCTTTTTAACTCAATACTGTCATAACTAGTATCGTGGTCGCTAGACTCAAAAAGTATTTTGGTGGGCGTGTCTTTTATTACAATAAACTCCGTTTAATATTTTACCCTTCCTCAGTTTGCCGTGTGGACAATATTCTTAAATATTTTCAAAGTTTCTTGAAGTCAAAAAATTCATTGGGAATTACTAAATAAGGTTGACGTTTTCTGGCGAATCAAAAAACCGCATAGAGTTATGAGGGTTCAAAAAGATCTCCAACTCGCTTTATCGCAGTATGAATTGCACTGTGAGCAGATTCTCCCTCACTTTGGCCATGATTCCACCACCGAGGAGCGTATACTAACAAGGATTATTGGACACTAAGGGACTTATCTCCATTTAGGTCTCTTCGTGGGAACCATAAATTTACCTTTGCAGATATAACACCCAGGGGCTAACGGTGTGTTGCCCACACTAATAGACATATAGTTATGCTTCTTCGTCAGATTAACCAGCATGGAATAATACACCTATATGTGGGTTATCTCAATTTTTGGTATTTTGTCAGTTAGAACACTTCGTGAGATAGGTGACGAAATATTCCGTTACTATAAACAGTATTTAAAACCCCAAACGTGTGAGCAGTACTCGAGGCCAGGTCTCATCTGGGCCTTGTATAGAGTGAGGAGGTCATCATCAAGTCCTCGGTGATCTGGACTCCGACCAGCCGAAATGAACGGCCCTTGGACAGAACTCGGCCATCCATCAAAACTGAATGAGCGGTAGGACGCTTTTTGTTCGTCAAGGTACAGTACTGTGTTTTGGATGCATTATACTGTACAAGATTGTCAGAGAGGAAGTTGCTGCTAGTCTTATTTTTCGTCGTCTTTTAATCATACAGGAAATGGGGTCGTTGATATGTAACAGAAACAGTGTCAGAGTCGAGACCGATTCCTGTGGAACACACGCTGTGACTTTGAGGGATGAAGAGGAGAACCCATCTCTTACGACGTATATCTTGAGGTCAGAGACAAAGTCAGCCACTCATCTTCCGGTACCTACATCATCGATTCTCAATGTTTGCCATTAAATCAATCAGGCTTTAGAAAGGGTCACAGTACCACTACTGCTTTGGCACGGGTTTGTGACGATGTACTAACAGCGGCGGATAGGCAAGAAGCATTAGTGTTATTGGATTTCAGCAAGGCTTTTGACACCCTGAATCATAAGCTGTTAGTTTGTAAATGTAAATACATTGGGTGTGACGACTTGGTTCTGGAATGGATAGATTGCTATTTAAATGAACGACATCAATATGTCGTCATACAAAATAAACTTTCAGACAAAAGTCCGATTTGTTCCGGCGTGCCTCAGGGATCCATATTAGGTCCACTTTTATTCCTTATATACACCTTTGACATTTCTAACACCCTTCAACATTGTTCTAGTCAATCATATGCTGATGATATGCAGGTTTTTCATAATTTCTGTCCGAACAACTACCATTTAGCTAACAACCTTATCAATCAAGATCTGCAATACTTAGGCACATATGCTGCAAAACATAATTTACGTCTAAACGCATCGAAATCGACAGCTATACTTTTTTGCTCCAAGAAAAAACGTACTTTCCTCAAATCAAAGTTAAATTTATCACTAAATAATAGTATCCTAATATTTTCCCATTCTGCAAAAAAAATAGGTTTGTACTTGGATGAAGATTTCAGATTTCAGGAGCATGTTGGCTATGTGTGTAAGTCTAGTTATTTTAGACTCAGGCTTCTATATGCAAGTAAAACTGTTTTAAATAGAAAATTTAAGAAAATGTTATGCGAGTCACTCATACTCAGTAAAATCGCTTACTGCAACATAGTTTATTATCCCTGTCTGGATGAAATAACAAAATACAGACTGCAAAAATTCAAAACTCATGTAGTCGTTACATAAACAATTTAAGAAGGTACGATCATGTTTCTCACTCAATATCTTCAAAGAATTGGTTGAAAATTTCTGATCTTTTCAAATACAACTTTGTTACATTTGTCGTAAAAATATTAAAAACTTCTGTTCCGGTTTATCTTATGCAAAAGCTTGTTCGTAGGAATTTAATTCACAATTTGAATACGCGCAACATTAATCTCCTGACAATGCCACAACATAGGACAGCCAGTTTTCAACGGTGTTTTACGTATAATGCGGTGAAATTGATCACATCTTTCGAACAATGTTTCATCAGCAACTTTTCTAAAAAAATATATAAGAACTACTTATTGAGCTCTTAGGTTATTGTCTTCTCTTTGAATCGTACGTATTATGTTTTTTGTTCTAATCGTACGCATTATGTCATATTTATTAATTCTTCTTTTACTATTATTCTTCTTTTTCCTTTTCTTTTTCAGTTTTTTATTTTATTTTCAAGGTAGTAATAAGCATTGACATGACATTTATGGTTAAGTATAAATGGCCATTGGCCAGACTTCGCCATTTGTAAGGATACATAATTATGTATGTGTTACAATAAAGTCCATTGAATTGAATTGAATTGAATTTAAATACTCCAATTTGCTTTTAATAACTGCACATATATTCAGAGTGGCAACACTTTAAAACAAAACAATGATGTACAAAACTAAATTAACGTCTTTCCATTTTCTTCGTACACGAGGGATGTCTTTTAAGTTTTGCATATAGAAACATAGTAGGCCGCGAGGATCGAACGTCAGTACTGAATGTTAACCTCACTCTTTAGTAAACTTAAATTCAAAGTTTCACAACAATACGTGCATTGTTCTCACTACAGTGAATTTTTAAGTGTCACCAAGTCATTAGAAAAATGGAACTCAACCGAGAACATTTTCGCGCCATAATTTATTACAACTTTCAGAGACAATTATCGCAACAAGAATGCCTTGCTGAGTTACTGTCTGTTTTCGGCAACGAAGCGCCACATCAGTCGACAATTTCCCGTTGGTATGGAGAATTCAAACGTGGACGGGTGAGTCTTAGCGACGATCCCAGGGTGGCTGCACCAAACACGACAGTCACCCAGGAAAACGTCGATGATGTGCGCAAACTCATCATGACATGTGACATATCGCGAGAATGAGGCGTCCTTGAAGTTCTCAAAGATCACAATTCAAAAAATTTTACATAAAAAATTAGGAGTAAGAAAATTAGTTTCTCGTTGGATACCTCACCTGTTGACTGAAAAGCTGAAAGCAGCCAGGATTAATTTTTTGTCAAGAAACGCTTGACCGTTTCAATTCCGGAAACTCAAAAAATGTGTACAGCAATGTTAGTGGTGATGAATCGTGCATTTACTGTTTTGAATCAGAAAATAAACGACAGTCGGCTGTTTGGGTGTTCCAAGGTGAAGAAAAGCCAACAAAAGTTATCCGTTCTCGATGTGTTTCGAAAAAGATAGTCGCGACATTTGTGTCAAAAGCCGGTCATATTACAACAATTCCTCTTAATGAGCAAAGAAATGTTACTGCGGATTGGTATACCACCATTTGTTTACGAAAAGTCATCACCGAGCTTCTAAAAATCAACCCCGAAAGAAGAATCATCCTCCACCAAGACAATGCAAGCTCGCACACAGCCCAAAAAACAAGGCAGTATTTAACGGAAGAAAACGTGGAATTATTGGACCATCCTCCATATGGTCCCGATCTAAGTTCTAACGATTTCTTTACTTTCCCGAAAATTAAAAACAGACTGCGTGGTCAAAGGTACCAGTCACCAGAAGAAGCAGTTGACGAATTCAAAAATTCAAAAATGCCGTTTTGGATCTGCCAGCAAACGAGTGGAATAAGTGCTTGTTTTATTTCCATATGCAAAACTTAAAAGACATCCCTCGTATGTTATGACTACGTCATACAGAAAAGAAAAATTGCGGAAAATAAAAAACCTTAGAACATTTTTTTGATCGATTCTGGAGGCACTGCAACCAAACGTACTTACTGTTAATCATACCAATCAAAAGGCAAAATAGTGCATAAGCATCATCACAAATAACAATAATTATTTTTACGATCAACGCCCTCTTAGTATCTATTTTTAATAAAACGACGAAGTGTATTACTCTCTTTACATAATGCATGAGATGGACAGCTATGAATGACAACATGTATTTCCCCGATACTGGCAACCGGAGGCCATCAATA